GGGGGGTTGATATACGAAAAAAATCAGATATTATATGCTTCCAGGTATGATATAAATAAAGTTATACAGGGCCAGGGATTTAGCTCAGTGGCACTGCGCCTGCCTTGCAAGCACGAGGTCTTAAGTTTGATTGCTGATACCAAAAGAACCCAACAAAACAAAGAAAGTTATACAGCATCACAAACAAGGTATTTCTGCTGAAAATGTTTACTTTGAACTTAATCAAGCGTCTTTACCTAACTTCTAGTTCACTAGAAATACAGGCAAAGGAGGAACAAGTTACATAAATCAGACAAATCCATAATATGACACAATCTATAATAAATAAACCACCTCTATTATAAAAAAAAATACTAGGAAAAAATGGGGAAAAGCAACATAACTACTCCATACTGGTTGTTTTTTTTTGTTTTGTTTTGGTACTGGAGATTGAACTCTGGACCTTGCATTTATGAGGACGGCGGTGGCACCACCGAACTAAATCCATGGCCCAACTCTGGTTGTTTTTTGTTTTTTTGCTTTTTGTACCAGGGATCGAACTCGGAACCTTGCGGTTTCGAACCAGGTGGTGGAACCACTGAGCTAAATCCCCAGCCAACAATGGTTCTTTTTAAGAATTCAGAAAAGATAATTTGATAACAACTGGGAAACTAACTATGGACTAGGGAGGAGTTGTACCTGTTCATTTTTTTAGATATAACCCTAGCATGGTATGGTGATTGTAGAGGAGAATGTCTTTATAATCTGACAATTACAGGTGACAAAGTGCACAAGCTCAGAGAAAATATGGCAAATGTAACTGTTATTCAAGCAAGACTATGGGTAATAGCATGTGTTTGTCATATTGTACTAATTTTTTATGTGTATTTGAACACTGATTAACAAAAAGTTAGAAAAACCAAAAATCTTCCTCCCAAAAGTCAATGCCAAGTTTTAAAAAAAGAGAGAGAGAAAAATATAGACTATGAGAGAAAAACACGTAAAAACCAAAAGCAATGTGTGAATTTTGACTGGAACTACTCTAAAAAGTATTTTGGGAACAACTAGGTAGATTTACACATGAGTTGTAGATAAGCTATTTGGGATTATTAAGTTTCTTAGGTGTGCTAGCAGATGTGGTGCTACATTTTGTGTCATTATTCTTAGTAGCTGTATGCTACAGTAATTGGGGGTGAAGGCTCACAATTACTACCAGGCACTTTGAAATGGCACAGAAAAAGAGCGAGCAAGAGAGAGATAAAGAGATAAAGCACATATGATAAAATGGTAATATTACTCCATCTTCAGAATGAGCAAACAGGTGTTTCCGGCTCAATTCTTTCATAGAAATTTGACATTTTCCATAAAAGAAGAGTTCCAGGGCCGGGGATTTAGCTCAGTGGTTCTGCCACCTGCCTTGCAAGCATAAGGTCCAGAGTTTGATGCCCGCTACCAAAAGAAAAAAAAAAAAAAAAGAAGAACAGCTCCAAAAATAAACGCAAAACATGTTTTTAGATGTACACAACCCATGGCTGTCTTAGTCATTTTCTCATTGCTGAGACACAATACTCAACACTCAAACAAGAGGAGGAGAGGTTTATTTTGGCTCATGTTTCAATCCAGTCAGCTGGCTCCAAGGCAGAATGGCATGGCAGAGGGGCCTGGCAAAGAAGAGGCTATGCAGGTCATGGCAGCCAGGAAGCAGAGAATGAGGGGAGGAGCCAGGAATGGAGACATACTTTCCAGGTCACAGCCCAGGGACCCACCTCTTCCAAGCAGACCCAACCTCCTAACAGCAAGCCTGCTATAAACTTCCATAATCCTATCTTCTTCCAGTAGTCTTATCTATGAGCTCATGAGGCTCTAGGGGGAAATTCAGATATAAACCACAACAGTGGCTGTTCTGGTTACCCTACAATGAGGGACCTCTCTTAGCTCAGTCTTAGCCCTGTATCATGTGACCTACTAATTCAATGCAGTACCCAACAACACACCTACCTAAGTGAGAATGGAGGCACTGCATGCACAGTCCAAAAAATTCATCCTTCTGAGGTGGATCATAGTTCAAGATGCTGAATGGAAGAATAATACCAAGGATTGAAAAAGGATGAATCTGTAAAAAGAGAACAAAAATTTTTATAGTTTCAACTTTAATAAAAATAAAACCAAGTTTCAGCCTAATTATTATTTTATCTGTTTTTTGTTTGTTTGTTTGTTTTGGTACCTTGTGCTTGCGAGGCAGGCGGCGAGAACCACTGAGCTAAACCCCTGGCCTACCTAATTATTTTAAATGAAATCCTTTTCTAACATGATTATAAATGATAGCTGAATCACTCCACTTATTATTCCATCCTGCTAGAATTTATTTAACCCTATGACTAATTTATTAGTAACTCTAAAAGTGTTAGTGGAGCCAGGCATGGTAGTGCATGCCTGTAATCCCAGCACTTGGGAGTGTGAGGCAGGAGGACTGCCATGAGTTTGAGGCCAGCCTGGGATGCATAGTGAGCTCAAGGCCAGGCTGAACCACATAGCGAGGCCCTGTCTCACAAAATAAGTGTTAGTGGAAAAAAAAGTCAGATAATCTACAAATTGATTTTGTTACATAAAAAAATCCTTAATTTCTAGCTATTCCTCATGAATTTAGGAAATGAAATCTCACTTACTTCTACGACATCAGTGTATTTGACTAATCATATAATATAGTTTCTTAATTTGTAATCATCAGTGTTTACTTTTCTTTCATTTAGTCTTTTTTTATTTCATTATTCACTCACTCATTCAATAGTTTTTGGTTTTTTTGGTACCAGGGATAGAACTCAGGACCTTGCACTTGGGAGGCAGGCAACGACACCACTGAGCTAAATCCGCAGGCCACTCACTCAATACTTAATGACTGCCAAGCACTAAGCTAAGCAAATAGGCTTTTATTTTCATTTGTGAGAAATACTACCCCCTAAGTAAAGGTCGTATCCTGATGTACATACAATAGTGATTTTGTGTGTGTGTGTTTGTTTGGTTTTTTTGGTACCAGGGATCGAACTCTAGACCTTGCGCTTTCGAGGCAGGTGGTGGAGCCACTGAGCTAAATCCCCGGCCCACAATAGTGATTTTGTAAGTGAGCTTCTTCTCATACAATCCATAAAGCAATATTTTACAAGTTAATTCCAGAAATAAATCAGCAAAAAGATACACTGCCAATTTAAGAATAATGATGTCAGTAGATCTTATCATTTTCTAGGTTTTCATGCATATCTTCAAACTTTGAATATTTTTAAACAGTAAAAGTAACAACATCGGATTATAAAAAAGAAGAAAAAAAAGCAAAAATCATTCATACATTACTATCTTTCTACATCTCCTAGCACCAGAAGTGCTTCCTTCTTAGTCAAAGAATTCTGATTCCTGATCTTGACAATGTTACCCAGAAGTGAGAGATGCCTGCTGACCTAGTCAGTCACGCCTGCAGTACTGGAGGGAGAAAGCAGCTCTAAGGGGAGGCAGGACAAATAGCTGAACCAGAAACCAGAGTTTAATTTTTTTTTTTTTTTTTTGGTACCGGGAATCGAACTTAGGACCTTGAGCTTGTGCAGCAGGCGGCGAAACCACTGAGCTAAATCCCTGGCCCTCAGAGTTTAATTTTTAAATTTCAAATTCTTATCCAAGTTCTCAAAAGTATTTATGATAATAAAAAAAATTATGCCTGTAGAAGCTGGAAACTATATAAAACTAATATATAAAAGAAAAATTTTAAAGTATATAATGGATAAAATTAATATGTAACATTTAAATTTTACCTTTTCAATCTGCTGAACAACCACTGCAGCTATCCTATCAAGTAGTGAAGTACTGAGGTAGTTAGTTCTAGAAATAAAAAATCCAATCCTTGCAACGTTTGTGTAATTAATTTCATCCATCAAACACTGAAAAGCAGCAATTGTTTCTTCCACAACCAATTGGTGAAACCAGTCTCCTTTTGAATATTTAAGTTCTTCCCATAAAAGATGAAAATTGTTGCTCTGTTGTAATCTTTGACAACTGTAGTGATCTAGTTTTTGAAGTAGTTTCAGTTGTTTCCCAGTAAATTTACTCAAATACATGTGATCATAGTGAATCCATCTTAAAACAGACGTGGCAAAATCATTCAGGTTACTGAGGTCACATTGGGGTAAGAGTGCTTCGATTCGGGACATCACAGCTTCGTCCGTGTGAGGAGAAGGGAGCATAGAAAGAGCACAGGACAGACTGACAATCTCTTTCACTTGGACACTAACTTTCAAGTAACTAGAAAGCAAGCAGGAAAAAGAAAAACAAAACAAAGCTAATATACCAGCAACAAAATAAATACATATTAAGATATGACTATATCATTACCCTTACAATTAGTAGGTGAGATAGGCCTAAATTTAGGCCTATTTTAATTTAAGATGTAGATAAAATCAAAGATGACACGTCCTAAAGGGTTACTAAAGAAAGCCCAAGATGTCCTAAAGCACCCTCAAAACAGAATTTTCTTCCCCTAAATAAAACCATAGTCCATGGCTAACAACAACATGTCAATGTTAGAACAATGTTTCCAGTGCTGTTGCTGGAGCCAGAATTTGGGTTCAATTTTTGATCTGATCTATCAGAAGCTGATACAACTTAGTACAGGCCGTGGCACACAGTGACTGCTCAGTAATATTGTTTCCTTTCCCATGTGTAGGAAGCCAAACCTTACACACACACACACACACACACACACACACACACACACACACGGGCATGCACGTGCATCCACACACAACATACAACTAAGCCTGGTCTCTACTTTTCCTTTCCCAAATCCCCATGTAACAGCCAGGCGTGGTGGCACACGCCTGTAATCCCAGCACTTGGGAGGCTAAGGCAGGAGGACTGTCACTAGTTCAAGGCCAGCCTAGGCTACATAGTGAGTTTAAGACAAACCAGCCTGGATTACATGGTAAGATCCTGTCTCAAAAAACCTAAAAAAACAAAAAAACAAAAGCAAAATCCCAGCAAGAGTCAAACCACAATTTAAAAACTAGGAGCTTTTGAAGTATCTTTATAAGTAGTAGAAAGAATAATCCAATTTAAAACAAAATTAGCCTGGTGTGGTATCATACACTTATAATATCAGCACTCTAGGAGGCTGAGTCAGGAGGATTACAAATTCAAGCCCAACCTGGGCAATTAGGACCTAGGAAGACTCTGTTTCAGAATAAAAAGTGGCTGGGGATGTAGCTCAGTGCAAAGCCCCTGGGTTCACTCCCTAGTACTGAAAAGCAAAAAGAATAAAATAATCATAATTTTAAATGCTAGGTGGGGTGTTGTGATACACGCCTATAATCCTAGCACTTGAGGCTGAGGCAGGAGGATTGCCATGAGTTTGAGGCCAGCCTGGGCTACACAGCGAGCTCAAAGCCAGCCTAAACTACATAGTGAGACCTTGTCTCAAAAAAAAAAAAAAAAAAAAATTCAGTGGTAGAAGGATGCATCCATATAGGCATTCTCATTTTCTATTAGTAAACTTAAAAGGCTGTCATAATTTTTCTGTAAAGTAATTAAGCAGTATGGTACAAATATTTTTAAAGTAATTATATCATTTGACATGGAGAAGCCCTATCTAGGAAACAAATCTAGGGAAAAATCTAAACTACACACAGTCTGGACACAAACATAAATTATACTGCATGATTCCATTTAGATAAACATAAAGGCAGCCAGGTGTGGTGGTACACACCTACAATCCCCGCTACTTGGGCAGCTGAGGCAGGAGGATTCCAAGTTCAGGCCAGCATGGGCAACTGAGAAACTGTCTCAAAATAAAACAAAAGAATATAACTTAGCACTTTGAGGGTTCACTTCCAAGGCCTGAAAAAGCAGAAATAGTAGTTAACCACAAGGATGAGGACAAAGTAATGAGGAGAGGAGATGTTCATTTTATGTAGATTATGCTTTTTTAAGTTAAAAAAAACCCAACAGATAAACTGGATGTGGTGGGGCATGCAGTAGTGGAAAATGGAGGGGAAAAATATCAATATGGTTTGAGCCTCATTTAACCTCAGGCATTATTTTAGTCTTTTTTTCTTTTACTTTTTTTGGCGAGAAGGATTGAACCCAGGGCCTCAGGATACTATGCAAGTAATCTACCATTAAGCTATATCCTCAGCTGCATTCTAATTGTTTTTGAGAAAGGGTCTTGCTGTATATTCTAGGTTGGCCTTGAACTCACTATGTAGTCTAGGCTGGCCTTGAATTTGCAGCGATCCTCCTGCCTCAGCCTCCCTAGTGCTGGGATTACAGGTGTGAACCACCACACATGGCCCATTCTAATTTTTAAAATAAAAATTTTCATGGAAAATTTCATTTTAGCCTAGTGAAAGTCAATGAAAAAGAGAATAACTTAGTAAAAGTAAAATTGTTATATCCTTAGAAAAGAAAATGATTTTATGTTATAAAGGAAAAATTCTATATGAAATTACTTTTTCACTAACATCTCCATTATACAGTATTGTAAAAGCTAACAATTAAGGTGGGTGTTAGGGCCTGGGATTTAGTTCAGTGGCACCACCTGCCTCAAAAGCACAAGGTCCTGAGTTCAATCCTCAATATCAGAAAATAAAAAAACAAACCCACACAATTAAGGTGGGTGTGATATCACATGCTTGTAATCCCAGCTACTCAGGAGGCAGAGACAAAGAGAGCACAAGGTGAAGGCACAGTAAGACTGTGCCCCTCAAAAAGAAAGTTAAAAAAAAAAAGGGAAAGGGCTGGGGATTTGGCTCAGTGGTTCTGCCACCTGCCTTGTAAGCCCAAGAACCTGAGTTCAATCCCCAGTACCAAAAAAAAGGGAAGGGCCAGGGGATTTAGCTCAGTGGTTCTGCCACCTGCCTCGAAAGCCCAAGCACCTGAGTTCGATCCCTAATACCAAAAAAAAAAAAGGGAAGTGAGCAAGACTGAAATGCTCTAATTATGAGCTTCTCAATGGAATTTAGCCTTTCATAGCAGCATCAATCTTTGTATTGTTATTCTGTTCCTTCAGGAAAGAAGACTAGCCTGGCTATTCATTTGTTTACTGCCTTCCTCCCATAGGGAACTCAATCCACCCTAAAGGCTTCATTTCCAATTTCAACAGATAGCAAGCAAAGGCAATGGAAGAAGGGACAGGGAGAGAGGTAAGTGTCTTAACATTTTTAAAGGTTTGATGTTATTTTTGTTTTGGGGAGTTTTGGGGCTGAGTATTGAACCCAGGGCATCAAGCAGGCTAAACAAGTGCTCTACCACTCAGCCTTAACTTGGCTCTTAATATTTTTTAAAAATATCATTTTATTGGTATATTTTAGGTATACAATATAATGACATTTGGCCCTTAATATTTTTGTTTCTCTTTTTTGGTACCGAGATCAAACTTGGGATCTTGCACTTTCCAGGCAGGCGCCGGAACCACTGAGCTAAATCCCCGGCCCAGCCCGTACTATTTTTAATAAATTATGCAAATTTTACTCCAAAAGTTCCAGCAATTCTGCATATTATTAAACAAAACAAATACTGCAGACAGATTATACAATGAAACACTAAACACTTCTTTTTTTAAAATCTTACCTAAATAGTAATTCCCTGAGTTTCATGAAAACCTCTTTACTTGGAAAATGTAGAAAAATTAATGTTTGAGTTATCTCCAATAGCTCTGTCGGTGTATAGTTTTCCAAATTTTTATGCAGCACTGAAGCAATTCTAAAACAGAATGATAAAACATATATTATAACAAGCTCATTCACTTATTTATCAAATATTAACTGTGAAGCTTTCACGCCAGATAATGTTCTATGCTAGAGAAATAGCAGTAAATGAGACAAGGTTTCACTTACAAGACTGTCTCAAGATTGAATAGAAATGTAAATAATTGAAATAAAATGAAATAGGATCAATGAAGTGTGAATGAAATAATATTCAATTATAATAGCAAGGATAGGAATTATAGTTCTACTCTCAAAATTTTAAACAATTTAAAGCTCATAAATCAGACATCAAATACCACTTTCTCCTTCCCCCCTAAATTTACCAAGTTACTAATGATTAGCAAAACTGATTTAATTTTCTTCCTTAAATCCACTAGTCTGCAAGTGGAGATGCTTAAAAGGAGTAGGATCCCCAGAACTGCAGATGTGATATATAAATGAGAAATAAGAAAGAATCAAACATTATCAACACAGGAAACCACCTAACTTCAAGAAATGAACAAAGAATACTGACAACAACCAAAAGAAAAATAAAATGACAGGAACAAGTCCACATCTTTCAATAATAACTCTGAATGTAAATGGTCTTAATTCTCTAATTAAAAGACACAGACTGAGGGGGCCAGGGATTTAGCTCAGTGGTTCCACCACCTGCCTACAAGCGCAAGGACCCGAGTTTGATCCCCAGGACCAAAAAAAAAGAGACAGACTGAGGGAATGGGTTAAAAAGTTAGATCCAGGCCAGGGATTTAGCTCAGTGGTGCTGCCGCCTGCCTTGCAAGCACAAGGTCCCGGGTTTGATCCCCAGTATCAAACAACAACAACAACAACCACAACAAAAAGTTAGACCCAACAATATACGGTCTACAAAAAAACTCATATCACTTGTAGAGACATATATAAACTCAAAATAAAAGAATGGAAAATTATACTCTAAGCAAATGAAATACAAAAGCAAACAGAAGTAACAAGAATACTTATATCTTGTAAAATAGACTTTAAGACAAACAGTAAAAGAAAAAAGGAAGTCACTATATATTGATCAAAGAATGACTGATTTATCAAGATATAATAATAAATTTATACGCACCAAATGTCAGAGCATCTAATTTTAAAAATCAAACACTGCTTGACATGAACAGGGAGATAGGCTCCAATACAGTACTGGAGGACTTCAGTATCACCTTCTCATCAATAAACAGACCACACAGACCAAAAAAATCAACAAAGAATCAGAGTTAAATTACACTATCAATCAAATTGACTTCATTTACAGACTATTCCACCCAACAGTTGTAAAATACATAGTCTTTCCATCAGCATTTGAAACTTTCTCTAGAATAGACCATGTATTGGGCCACAATCAAGTCTTAAAATTTTTTAAAAATGAAATAATATCTTGTATCTTCTCTAAATGGAATAAAACTAGAAATTAACAGCAAGGAAAATTGTAGAAATTATACAAACACGTGGAGATTAAAAACCACACTTTTGGGCCAGGGATTTAGCTCAGTGGTTCCACTGCCTGCCTCACAAGCAGAAGGACCCGAGTTCGATCCCTGGTACCAAAAAAAAAAAAAAATTCTAAAAGCCTCCTTCTTCCGCTCCTGGAGCTGCTTGTGTACTCGTTCGGTGCGGACCTGGTACTTCTTTTGTGAAGCAGCAGCTGAAAAGACTCGGGCACTCACTATGGCTGATGAAAAGCCCAAGGAAGGAGTCAAGACTGAGAACAACAATCATATTAATTTGAAGGTGGCAGGGAAGGATGGTTCTGTGGTGCAGTTTAAGATTAAGAGGCATACACCACTTAGTAAACTAATGAAAGCCTATTGTGAACGACAGGGTTTGACAATGAGGCAGATCAGATTTCAATCTGACAGACAGCCAATCAATGAAACAGACACACCTGCACAGTTGGAAATGGAGGACGAAGATACAATTGATGTGTTCCAGCAGCAGACAGGAGGTGCTTACTAAAATGGGAACCTGCAACAACTCTACTCCAGAACTCTGTTCTTATAGACCAAGAATTCATTCTCAATTAGAAAACTGCAATTTGGTTCCACCACATCCTGACTACTACAGTATAGTTTTCTCTATTCCTTCATTTACCCCTTCCCCATTCCTTTACTGTACATAAAGTATCTGGTGTATGTGCACAAGCATATTGCATTTTTTTTTTTTACTAAATGGCCAATATGTTTTGATTGACATCAGATGGAGACGGGATGGGGAGATACTGGTTCTGTGAAAATAATTCCCTCTCTCCATTGGTGACATGCTCATCAGCTATCTTTATATTCCAGTAAGTTATTTTGCTCTCACTGTTTTAACAGAAAAGACAACAGAAAAGAAAACAAAAATCCTTGCATACCTTGTTTGATTGGAGAATTTTAATGTTTTTCATTTATCATTGTAAAACCAAGGACAATTTTATAACTTTTTTGTACATAGCTGTTACATGTAGGGCAATCTGTCTTTATATAGGAGTAAATTACTCTTTAAAAGAAAAAGAATCCTAGATAGTTTTCCCTTTAAGTCAAGTGTCTTGTTGTTTAAATAAACTTCTTGTTTAAAATGAAAAAAATAAAATAAATAAAAAACACTTTTGAATGAACAGTGGGTCACTGAAGAAATCAAAGGAGAAATTTAAAAGTTCCTCAAATCAAACAAAAAATCCTTAACATACCAAAGGCTGGGGGATACAGGAAAAGCAGTTCTAAGAAATTTATAACCATGGGCACCTACATCCAAAAAAAAAGACCTCAAATAAACAATGCAATGATATATCTTTTCTTTTCTTTTTTATTTTTTTTGAGACAGGGTCTTGCTATGTACTTCAGGCTGTCCTTGAACTCACTGTGTAGTCCAAGCTGGTCTCAAACTCATAGTGATCCTCCTGCCTCAGCCTCCCAAGTGCTGAGATGAGAGGCATGCACCACCACACCGAGCCTAATGCATTTTAATGTCAGAAAAAGTCAAAAGTCAAAAGCCAAAGCCAAAATAAGTAGAAAGAAATAAAGATCAGAGCAGATAAATGAAATGAAGACTAAAATAATAATACAAACGATGAATGAAACAAAGAATTGGTTCTCTGAAAAGTTAAACATAAACAAAAGCCTTTGGTAGCTAAACTAAGAGAGAAAGAGAGAAAAGGATAAACATAAATGAGAGATAGAATCCAAATAAATAAAATTAGAGGTGAAAAAGAAGACATTATATCTGATAGTACAGAAGTCAAAGGATCATTAAGGAATATTTTGAAAGAATATGTACTAATAAATTTGGAAAAATTATAAGAAGTGTACAAATATCTACCTAAATCTACCAAAAAATGTTAAAAAACTAAATAGACCAATAACAAATAATGAAATTGAATCAGTAATAACAAGTGTACCAATAGCCAGGGATGTAGCTCAGTGGCACTGCACCTGCCTGGCAAGCACAAGGTCCTGAGTTCAATTCCTGGTACCAGAAAAAAAAAGTGCATTAACAAAGGAAAGCCCAGGATATAATGGCTTCATTGCTCAATTTTACCAACATTTAAAGAGCTAACACTAATGGTTCTCAAACTGTTCCAGAAAACCCTTCCAACTCTATGAAGCCAGCACTGCCTTGTTATCAAAACCTGACAAGCACACAACCAAAAAGAAAATTATAGGCCAGTGGTGGCAAACCTATGGCATGCATGACACAGCAGGTTGTTTGTATCATTGAAAGCCCTAAAACATTTGCCATCACTGCTCTAGACCAATATTCTTGATGAACATAGGTCAAAACTCCTCAACAAAATACTCACAAATCACATTCAGTAGCATATTAAAAAGATCATATACCATGGACAAGACAAAATATCTCTATTTGCAGACATGATTTTTTTTTTTTGGTGCTGGGGAATCAAACTCAGGACCTTGTACTTGCGAGGCAGGCAGTGGCACCACTGAGCTAAATCCCCGGCCCAGCAGATATGATTCTATACATGAAAAAACCTAAAGACTCCACCAAAAGATTATTATGAACTCAGTAAAGCAGCAGGAAACAAAATCAACATATATAAATTACTAGCTTTTCTCTACATCAACAATGAGCTTTGAAAAGAAATAGTTGGGGCTGGGGATTTAGCTCAGTGGTTCTGCTGCCTGCCTTGCAAGCACGAGGTCCCCAGTTTGATCCCTGGTACCCCTCTCCCCCCCAAAAAAAAGAAAGAGTCATATAAAAAAGCACTGGGAAGAGACAGTAAGAAGTTGGTGGAAATGGGACAGAAGGAATATTAAAATGAAGGACCATATAATAGATAATGAGAAATTAATAAGCATATATATAATTTAATAATTTTTTTTTCCTTAAATCTCAAGTTAGCAATAAGCCAACATATAACATTATATTTCCAGGTAATATTATGATGTAAGACAGTTCAAGTTCATACGGATGTTTCTGTTCTCCAGAAACTTTCCTTTTGAAAAAAGGGTTTTTGCTCTATGCATTGCACTTTCAACAATGATCATGCTCTTCTTGAGCATAACAGCAGCAAATGAAATGAGATAGCATAGGCTACATGGCCTTCCTCATGATAGCCTGCCCTGCCTTGCTTTCTCCAGGCTGTTCTTTTATTTTGCTTTTCCCTCTTTTATGGCCCCAAGCTCGCTCTGCAGAGCCATTATCTCCCTCACTTTTCATGTTTACTTTTTCAAATAAACTTTGCAACCACTAAAAAAAAAAGAATGACACCATAAATAATTTTATCTCTATTTTGAAAAAGCTAATTAGAACATGAAAATAATGACTTAACTGTTCAGTCTTAATTTTTCAAAACAACTTTTTTTTGCAGTGCGGGGGATGGAACCCAGGGCCCTGCACATGCTAGGCAAGCGTTCTACCACTGAGCTATAACACTAGCCCTAACACAGCAATTATAGGGAAAAAAATTTTACTAAGAAAAATTAGCTACTTATAAATGACAACTAAATATAACACCATGAATTTTAGGAAAGACTACTTTTTAATCAAGTGTGAATTTCTGCTTTCCATTTCTTCCATTGCTACCACCACTTCCAGGGCTTGCTGGCTGGTCAGCTCCTCTGACATCAGTAACATAGTTGACTCAAGTCTAGAAGCAAAGAGAAATAATTTTATGTCAAAAAACTGAAAATTAGTTTGTAAATTTTTTTAAAATAACAACTCCCTGATAACAAGTAGAGAAGACATAGAAAAAAATTGGATTCAGTATGTAATTCCAATTTTCTCCCCACATACTCGGGGATAACATATTATTAATTTAAAAAATACATATTTTCTTCAAAGCAATTAAGGCCACATATGAGCTAATCCTTAACTGTTTCTTTAAACAAATAAAAGGTCTTCAATGGTTTTTCAAATAAGAAACTTATAGTGGTTATAAAACATTATGATTCAGTTAAATTATACCATACTAGAGAGCAAAGGAGCTAACAACATCCGAATGTTTTAAAGTTGAATAAGATCTAACTAGAAAGTCAATTTACCTTCATATTCATAAAAAGCTTATATACTAAACATTTGCTATAACACTATGAGCTGAAAATTAACAAAGATGGCCCATTTTGAAACTATCCAAAGTGCTGCAATAACAAAAGGATCAAGACTGTCTTTTGGAACAATACAGAAGGTAAATCTAAAAGATGAAATCCGAGGATACTAGGATAAATTTTCTAATCACTAACCTTATCAAGTGTTTCAAATACAGCTTCTCACCAAAGGTTTTCCTAACCACTTCAGTCTACATTTTTCTCATGCTTTTGTCTGCCCACAGCACTTACTGGCCATAAACCATGTTGTGATGTTATAGAATTTACACATTTCAGTTATTTATTTCTAACACTGGCAACTCTGTACACAATGAAATAAAGTGTTTAATTTCATTTCTTCCTAATTGAAATATAAATTCCTTGAACACGGGAACTCAGTTAAATTTGACTTTTGTACTGCTTTAGCATGTATGAAATAAATAGTGTTTGATGACAAAAAATGCTATCAATAAGTTTTTAAAATAATCATGTTGTAGCCAGAGATGGTGGCACACCTGTAAGCCCAGTACTTGGGAAACTAAGACAGGAGGATCACCGCAAGTTCCAGGCCAGCCTGAACTATAGTAAGATCCTGTCTCAAAAATACAAAAAATAAAATTAAATTAAAAAATAAATAAATAAAAGAATTGTGTTGTTCTATCTAGATACAATCTCTTAAGATGTGCCCTTAGGTATTTTCATGTAACTCTTTAAGGGCTCTTAAAGTTAAAATTTCTCCATGAAGTCTTTCCTAACAGAGTAATGGCACAGATTCCTCTGCTGCACAAGCTTCTAGAAGTCCTGCTTAATGGAATCTACTAACCCTGATTATCTCTAAGGACTACTATAATTCTTATGTACCAGTCATACTAATTTTTTTTTTTTTTGGTACCAGGGATCAAACTTGGGTCCTTGTGCTTGCGAGGCAGGCAGCGGAACCACTGAGCTAAATCCCTGGCCCCATACTAATCTTATGTATCAATTTAATGTTTGTTCATTTACATTTGAAATATTTCTATCTGTATCAGTAGCTGGCAAAACTAGAAATTCTTTCTTTTTTTTTTTTGGTACTGGGGATAGAACTTAGGCCCTTGCGCTTGTGAGGCAGGTGCTGGAACCACTGAGCTAAATCCCCAGCCCAAAACTAGAATTTTAAAAGAGATGAGCCAGACAAATCCACTCAAACCTGATGAGGGGACAGATGCCACTATGTGTAAGTACTCTGACAATGAATCTAATGAAGACAACAAAGCATAAAATGGCCCATGATTAGTAGGACTACTATCATTCTAAATATTCCATACATTCATGCTGGGTAGGAGAGGGCCTAGGAAGAGAGAATAAAGGAATTAAATGGTATTTTCCCTCATCTTTTTCTGTGTTGGTCCAGTACCATGGATTTCTTGGTCAACCTTAGAACATACCAGCAGACTAACGGTAGGAGATATAAATGAGAATAACCAGAAAAAACACCAAGGAGCACAGCATGATAGATTATTTTCCTTTAACAGTCCAGGGAAGTCATTTCTGTGCCTTCCAGGGATCAGAAAGACTAAGCTTAAAGGCTTTATGTCTCCAAACAAGAAAAAGCATTTTAAGTTGAACTTACTGTTTCTTTTCTTGAGGTCCTGCCAATGGTCCCAACGTAACAAACAATTTTACAAAGTTTGCAGGGTGATTGAACAAAGGAATCATCTCAGTGAGCCTCTTTTTAGCCATTAAAATAAATGCAAAACTATAGAACTGTAGAAACCGGTAGGCAGCAAGTATGTTTCTGATGGAATCCAAATCAAGGTGATTCACATTACTTAAAAACACTTTATCACATCGCTCTAATAGTGGAAAATGACTACATTTAACATTTCCAAGAAATTGTACTATTTTTCTTGCAGTGGTGACCTGAGAAGAATCTATGGTGTCGAAAAGAAGTTCTGTTTTCTTCACTAACTTTTCTTGAAAATGTTGTGATATTAGAGAAGATATGCTGATCATCAAGACAGACAAAGACCTGAAGAAGGAAAAAGACACAAAGATTTTTACATTATTGAAGAAAATGACCTATTCTAAAACTAAATAAATAAATAGATATAGAAAAGAATTGGTGAAAAGAGTGTTTTATACCATAAAATTTTTCTGTTCTCTTTTTTCTTTTTTTGAGACAGGGTGTAACTATGTAGTCCAGGCTGGCCTTGAACTCATTACATAGACCAAGCTGGCCTTGAACTTGTGGCAATTCTCCTGCCTCAGCCTCCCAAGAGCTGGGATTACAGGCATGCGCCACCACACCTGGCTGAAATTTTTTTTTTAAATATTGGTAGGACTTAAACTCAAATTTCCCAGTAATCAAAGACTTTAGACAGAAATAACTAAAACAATTTTTTTACTAACCGTATAAAATACTATGTTCTATAGACAAACTATGTCAATGGAAAAAAATTTTAGTGAAATTTATGGAGAAATAACTTTGGATCAACAGCCCATAAATGTAACATTAAAAGTTTCATTTTAGGGCCGGGGATTTAGCTCAGTGGTTTCGCCACCTGCTGCGCAAGCGCAAGGACCCGAGTTCAATCCCCAGTACCAAAAAAAAAAAAGTTTCATTTTATATTTCTGCAAGTTGACCTTTTCATTACTCCTTTCTGTGTATATATGCGATTACTAAAAACATCATTTTTTATCCCTCAGTGCCGAGGATTGAACATAGGACCTTTGCATTAAGCTATATCCCCAGCCCTTTTTATTTTTTGAGAGAGGATCCTGCTAAATTGCTACTTTGCCCAGGCTGGACTTGAATTTGCAATCCTCCTGTCTCAGCCTCCCAGAGTGCTGGGATTACAGGTATGCACTACCACACCCAGCACAAGTATGTAACATCTAATAAATCCTGAATGATTTCATAAGTTTTAGTATTTCATGCTATACTGGTATTTATACAACAGTAAGTACTGAACGTGGAGTGGCATTAAACATTTCTTCACTCAATAAACACAGACCAAAAGTCACTTTTCTAGGAACTGTGAAAGACATCAAAATTACTAAAGTGCTATACTGGTTAATGGCTCCCTGAGAAATTTTGTCCAGGTTTTTGATGTCCTGAACAAAGACTTGGACAAGACACAGAAAAGGCAGCAGAGATGTACATTTATTCAAGGTGGAAAAGAGTAGGCATTGCAGAGAGAACAGGCCAGTGAATAGACTCACAGCAACCACAAGGACAAGGGAAGGGAGTCTCTTGTATCTGGAATTCCTGGATTGGCTTTTCTCTCACACAGATAAAGCATTGGGACAGTTGCCTCATCAAAAAACTCACCTAGCCTGGCACCAGATTTAAACTGTCCTATGGAAAATTCACTTGGTTTTGTAAATAAACAACTGAAAATAGCACTTTTCTGATTGGTTCTGTGTACAGTGCTCGGGAATTGCAGAGTCACCCTGGATCCTGTGTTTTGTGAATGTGCCCTGGGTCTCCATGACTTTAATAAACTTTGCAAAGTTGTTTCGCCAGTTTTGTCCCAGCCCCAATTCCTACCTCAGCATGGTCTGTGTTTTCAACAGGCTATTTTATATAATAGGTTCACAAAACCCAGAAAACTACAAATACAAGGCTAGATAACAATAAAGTATGCAAAATGGAAAAAACATAAAGTAAATTCTTGGGGATCATAATGAGGCAGGAGGGTGCCGGGAATTTAGCTCAGTGGTTTCGCTGCCTGCTGTGCAAGTGCAAGGACCGAGTTCGAGCCCCAGTATCAAAAAAAAAAAAATAATAATAATAATGAGGCAGGAGGATGGTAGGTTTAGGCCTAGCCTGGGCAGCTTAGAAAGACTTTATATGAACAAACAAAGCCTTAGTTTCCTATGCAGCAAATGAAGGTATAAATGCTTATCTCAAAAGGATGTTTGGGGATTAAACTGCATACATGTTTACATTCCAATGTTTGCCCTCTTTCTTCTCTTCCTCTCTCAGATCTAGGAGACTAATGTCTTCTGCCTGCACCTATGATAATGCAGCAAATGGGATGGGGATATAGCTCACTGGTAGAACACTTGCCCAAAATGCACTAAGCCCTGGATTCCATCAGTGGGACCAAAAAAAGAAAAAGGAGGAGAAGGAGGAGAAGAAAGAGGAGGAAGAAAATGTCGTAGGCAAATTTGTTAGACTGTAAGATAAAAATCTCATCAGACCCTTCACAGATCTCTATGAAACCGTGTTATACTTTAACTTATCTTATCTGTAATCCCAATGACAATATTGCAAAGCAGATATTACTGTTTTATAGATGAGAGTAAATTAGCCTTAAGTTGCATAAATATAACTAGAAAATTCATTTCTGCAAATAAAGCCCAAAACCTTTCTACCATAATACAAATCTCTAAATAAATATACCTTAAGTCCTGTATAGAATCCAACTTCCTATTTACAATATCAGCTATTTTCCCCATTAATGGACTGTAATACAAATGTTGATCTGCTAGGCAAGCAGAAAATGTTGACAGCACATTAATATCAAACCTAGTAAAGGAAATACAGAAAAGATTATTAGTACTTTTAATTAAAACTATAAAAATAAAAAACCAACCAACCAATAATAATATATTAATATGAATTTTTGCAAAATTTTTATTACTGATTATTAGAAAAGTAAAGTGACAAAAGATAAAGGGAAAATTACTCAAAATTATATGAATCATTTATTTATAATTTTAAGTTGACAATTTTGAAAACAACCACTACTACAAAATTCTGTGAAAAACTTCACCCTGTGTATCACACACAGAACCTACCCCTGGCCAACTCAACACCAGTGGATTTTATTCACTGGGCATGGCCATCCACCAACTCCAAGTATGTTCTGTGTTTTCATTTCCCTTCGGCAGCCTATATGTCCATCAACAGATGAATAAAGAAAATGTGCTAATTATACACAATGGAATAAGTCCAAACTAACAAACATTTGAGTTGCAAACTTTCACAGATATGAACAGACTGTGCACTACAAACATTCATAGATGCAAACAAATTGTGGGAGTAGCTCATGTGTCTGCCGAACATTATCACAGTTGTGCTGCTGTGTGCTTACTGTACAGTGTGACAATGTACAGTAGTACAGTGCTCAATCAGAGTCCAGGATGTGCAGAAGCAGTGGTGAGGAAAAGCAGTGGTGATGTGGAGGAGACTTCTAGGAAGCGCAAAGCAATAACCATGGAAACAAAAGTGAAAATAACTGAGAGATTGGACTGAAGCAAAAAGATGGTAGATGTCACTTGTTCTTATAACATGAATCGTTCAACCACTGGCATAATTCTAAAGAACAAGGACAAGATCATGGAACATGTGAAGTCTGCTGTGCCAATGAGGTCAACAATAATATCCAAAGGCATGGTAAAGTGATAGAGATGGAGAAACTTCTCAGTGTGTGGATGCAAGATCAGCATCAGCATCGAGTCTCACTCAGCTTAATGCTTATTCAAGAAAAAGCTAAAAGCCTGTTTGAAGACATGAAGAAAAAAATGGGGTGAACAGGGTGCATCTTTCACTGCCAACCATGGATGATTTAAGAGTCAAGGCTAGAATCAACCTTCACAACGTAAAAGTAAGAGGTGAAGCTGAGAGTGCAGATACCATAGCTGCTTAAGAATTTCCAGAAATACTTAGAGAAATTACTGATGAAGGCGCTTATTCACCCCAACAGGTTTTGAACATCGATGAGACAGGACTGTACTGGAAGAGGATGCCAGAACGAAGTTACCCCAGGAAAGAGGAAAATGTGATGCCAGGCTCCAAAGCGACAAGACAGGCTTATCTGTTGTTTGGTGGCAATGCTTCCGGCAATATGAAATGACTGTGACACCTCTCTTAGCTTACTATTCAGAGAACCCAAGAGCCCTCAAAAACATAGCCAAGGGCTCTGTACGCGTTGTGTGGAAGAGTAACTCCAAACGCTGGGTTACACAGGCCATTTTCTGGGTCTGGTTTTTCCACCACTTTATCCCAGAGATAAGTATTGTTTGGAGAAAGATATCCCTTTCAACATTCTTTTGCTGCTTGATAATGCACTAGGTCACCCCTAATTCATGGATGATTTTCATCCCAACATCTGCCACCAAATACTACAGTGCTCATCCAACCTATGGATCAAGGAATTATTGCAACTTCTAAGAAATATTATTTACATCACACTTTTTGCCAGGCAGTGAAGGCAACTGATGAAACAGGAACAAATCTGCAACAATTTTGGAAGCACTATAACATGTACAAGGCCATAAAATACATAAACTTTGCTTGGCGTGAGGTTTTAGCTGTCACCATGAATGGGGTTTGGAAGAACCTTTGCCTGCAGTTTGTTCGTGAAGTTCATGGACTTAAGGAGATGGCTAAGGAGTCCAAGGAGGTCCTCAACAGCTTAGAGAAACTTAGCAAGAAGCGGCAGCTAGATCTGCAAGAGGATGACTCCACTGAACTCCTTGCTATGCAACACAAGGAGCTTACTAATGAGGATCTGATGGGCCCGGGGAAAAGATGAAGGGAGCCAAGAGGAAGGTGGAACTGAAGAACAAAGAGATTTGTAACACAGGAAATGGCAAGGGGATTTTCTTCACTTGAAGAGGCCCTGTTAGTGTTTGAGGCACAGGACCCCAACATGGAACAATACACAAAGGTTACAGCAGCCATTCAAAATGCCATCCAGTGCTACACAGTCATCTATGGTGAGAATAAAAGAGCTACTACTCAGACATCACAGGATGTGTTCGGTTTTCCTATGCTTCACAGTGTGCATCTGTGTCAAAGGTATGTAAGACTCATGGTGTCATACTTATGAAAGAATTCTACTTACAAATGTCTCCCAGAATAGAACTTGTTTCTAAGTCGGGGACTTACTATATTACTCTGCCATAAGGAAAGAAAAATGTGAGTCATGGATGCATCTTGAGACCAAATGTTCAGTGAAATAAATCTGATACACAGCTTAAATATCACATGGTTTCTCTTATATTTGAAAGCTAAAATATAAATAAATGGCAAAATAAAAGATAGAAAATAGGCAATAAGGAGAAAGATCTTTTGCAACTGGGAAGTGTACCAAGAGAGGGAGGGAGGGAGAGGTTAAAAAAAAAATTGAGATGTGTTATGTACACATACCAACTCCTCATGAGGAATGGAACCTTTAGGAACTGCAAATGCGTACTAGTAAAAAATAAAAATTTAAAAATAAACTTCAGAATTTGTCTACAGGAAAGATGACCCAATTTCTTAACAAGCAAACAGCAAGGCAAAAGAGAAGGAAATTTGTTATAGATTGTAATTGTCTTTGTTTTTTTCACAGTGCCAGAGGAGGCAAACCTCAAACTTTGACTCATGATTCTCTTGCCTCATTCACCCACATGCTGGGATTACAAGCATATGCCATCACACCCATCTCAGGTGATTTTTTTTTTTTTTTTTGGTACCGGGTATTGAACTCTGGTCCTTGTCCTTCAAGGCAGGTGGCAGAACTACTGAGCTAAATCCCCGGCCCTATCTCAGGTGATTTTGCTTACACAGAAGTGATCAGTATGTGATAATTCATTATCTGTATACTTATGATTCATGCAATTTTATATAATATTCTATAGAATGTTTTAGTATATGTGCTGCCAAAGCAGGCACCCTTCTATAGAATGTTTACATAAGTCAGGTGTGGTGCTGTCCAATATAGGGCTTATATATGTGTGCGCGCGCGTGTGTGTGTGTATGTGTGTGTGTGTGTGTGTGTGTGTGTGTGTGTATTTGCTATAAGTAAAAAAAGAAAACAGAACTTCTTAGCTATTTTTAAATTGAAAAAAAAGAAAAGTCTGGTGGGTGTGACGACATGTGCCTATAATTCCAGCAATCGGGAGGTTGAGGTAGGAGGATCACTATGAGTTCAAGGACAGCCTGAACTACAAAGTGAGACTCTATCTCAAAAGAAAAGTCGGAGTCACTGGGAAGTTCAATTGTACATTTGTAATTTAATTGTTTCATAAATTCTAAAACCAAAATAATCTATTTTACAACTGATTTATTCATGCTGCATCATTTATGTAACACTTAGTATTGCTTCAAAGGGAAAAAAAGTGCTTTGACCTATTACCAACAATGACCAAATTTAACCCAAAAGATACAGTAAGTACAGTATATATTTCTTGTTGTTTGCAAAAGGAATTAAGATTACTCTCAAGCCTGCATTGTGGTACATGGCTGTAGTTCCTTCCAGCTATTAGGCTGAAGCAGGCGAATAACTGAGCCCACAAGTTCTAGGCTAGGCTGGCCAATATAGCAAGACCTTGTCTCAAAAATGCACAATCAAAAACAAAAAGATTATCGTGCTCACTCTAGATAAAAGGCCTGTGACTCTAGGTACAGAGCATACAAGGATGGAGTGGATGAGAAGACAGATGGGTTTAGATAATGAATCTAAAACCACAACTTAATAGATGAATATAGAATTTCTAAACCTAGAGAACTGTTCTGTCCCCCTTTGATTTAATCCAGCCTCTTATGGTTTACATCTGGATGTCCCCCCAAATCCTCATGCACTTGTAGTTGCTATTTTTCTAGAAGGTGATTGGACCCTGTGAGCACTATAGTTAGATATGATGTTAGAAGGTGGGGTCAGGCTTCCTGATCATCACAACATGAGCAGATGTCTTCCATGCCGGGCCCTTCCACCATGCTGCCTGCTAGCCCTGCAAGGACTGAAGCTTCTAAACATGAGCCTCCCTCATGTTGTTTATTACAGGCGACCCTTTTCTTTCTAACCTAGGTTTCTATTTGGTTTATTTGTTTTGAGACAGAGTCTCACTATGTAGTCCAGGCTGGCCTCGAACTCATGGTGATCCTCCTGCTTCAGCCTTCCCAGTGCTGGGATTACAGGTATGTGCCACCACACCTGGCTTCTATTTGGTTTAGAGGGAGAACTGTTCTGTGGTTTTTAAAACTCTCCTTTCTCCTCCATCTTGATTTTCCCTTTCCTCACTGCCATTTGCCTATTCCACAAATAATGACCCTTAGCCATCTAAATTCCTAGGTTAAAAAATAATTCAAAGTTTTCAAAAATAGCTGAAGCTTTTCTAAAATAAGCTGTTATTATCTCAGCTAGATCTTCCCATGCAGACTTATAGGATGTACTTCCTATACTCATTTTTAATACCCTAAATCTACAAACATAAGAATACCCCAAAGAGTACCCTAAACCTTATAGAATGTACTTCCCCATACTCATAAGAATACCCTAAAGAATATAAGGTATATATTATATAAGCAGCATATATGTTATATATTATATAAACATTTTTCTAGATGATTATCAATTATGGCAACATGCTGAAAATGTAACTGTGTATAATACAGAAAATACTATAGAGTTCTGTACAGAAAATAGTTCAGTTACTTTGCCGTAAAGAAGGATAAACTCCAGACATTTATAGCTAAATGGATGGACCTTGAGATCATATTAAGTGAAATAAATCAGACACACATGTTTAAATACTGCATTGTTTCTCTGGTGTGAGAAACGGAAAGTGGAAATAAGGGCTAAAATGTATAATAGATATTGGGAAATGGGAAGAAAATATTCAAATGGGAATGGGAACAAGGGAGGGGGAAGGGAGAAATGAAGGAAAGGACAAGAGAAAAAGGGAAAATAGAAGGAAAAGATGGAAACAAAGTTTTTAAAAAAAATTTTTTTTGGTACCAGGGATTGAACTCAGGACCTTGCACTTGTGAGGCAGGCGGTGGCATCACTGTGCTAAATTCCCAGCCTGGAAACAAAGCTTTTGTACATATGGAGGGGAGGGGGCTTGAGGATGGGGGAGGGGGATGGGAAAAAAGAGGTGAGATGTATTATGTACAGGTGCAAATTCCCTATGATGAGTGTTATCATTATGTATGCCTAAAATGCACCAATAAATGTTTTGCTATTAAAAAGAAAGCAGTACGACATGAAACATACTCTCTTTAATTTTGTAGTCTTTTGTTTGTGTAGAGACAGGATCTCACTGTGTAGTTCCGGCTGGCTTTGAACTCACTATGTAGTTCAGGCTGGTCTTGAACTCATGGCAATCCTCCTGCCTCAGCCTCCTGAGTGCTGGGATTACAGGTGTATGCCACCATGCCTGGCCATACTCTTTGAAAAACCTTCTAAATCACTCATAAGCTCTGGTCATTGGTCACTGCATAAAAACAGAGTGAGACACTAGTAGCTACAGATGCCCATAAAAAGTGTTACATGGCTTTTCAGTCTATTAACCTGGCGTCTCCTCTTTTCTTCCTTTATGGCTCCTGCACTTCTAGATTTTAACTCAAAGCCAATCAGAGCTTTTCTTTCTGAGAATTCTTCCAGACAAGAGTTAAAATAGCTGGCCATGAAGAGCTGTTACATATTTTACCCTATTTATATTTTGATTATTTATGTGGGGGCCGGGGCTTTAGCTCAGTGGTTTCACCGCCTGCTGTGCAAGTACAAGGACCCGAGTTCGATCCCCAGTACCAAAAAAAAAAAATTTATGGGCCAGGGATTTAGCTCAGTGATTCTGGCGCCTGCCTCACAAGCGCAAGGTCCTGAGTTCGATCCCTGGTACCAAAAACAAAACAAAAAAATGTCCTGCATATTTATGTGGAAAAGTACAGTGTTCTCTTCTGGGTTAGAGAACATCTGAAATATTTTCCTTTCTTTATTTAAGAAAGAATACACAAACTGGGGCCTGGTGGCACACTTATAATCCCAATACTTGGGAGGATGAGGCAGGAGGATTGCTACGAGTTTGAGGTCACCCTGGGCTACATAGTGAGGCCAGCCTGAAATACACTATAAGATCCAGGCTCAAAAAACCAAAAAACCAAAGAAGAAAAAGAAGAGAATGAAGGAATATACATTACACAAGCAAAAACCCTCAAAGTAAACTGAGCTTAAATACATTTTTTTTCACTGAAGTTTAATAGGGAGGCAGCAGCTCCCCAATCTTTTCTTATAAGACTCACAGTGCTTACCGTGAAAAGGGTAACCCTGATCTTAGATGATGAACCCAGAATACTTACCTCTCCAACCTTTTCCATGCTTCTGTAACCAGTGATTCAACTAGTGGATCATGGACCGCAACAGCAAACCTCAATAAAAACAAGAGAAAATAATTCTATATACACACTCATTTTAAATCATTAAAAACACATGTAACAAAAGTTATAATGAAAAAGTGAATTTCAATTTATTTTCCTCTTACATGCACAGTCCTCATTTCTGCTCTAGTCATTTCAGTATTCGGATTTCTTGATATAGTCTAATTAATATCTATATTTGATCTTATGCCCTCTTATACTTTTATCTGCTCATTTAAATGCCTTCCACTGAACAAAGAAAATGTTCATCAGGCATGCTGGCACAACCCATAGCACTTGGGAGGCTGAGGCAGGAGGATCGCCAAAAGTTTGAAGTCAACCTGGGCTCCACAGTGAGTTCAAGGCCAGCCTGAACTGCACAGTGAGACTCTGTCTCAAAAAAAAAAAAAAGTTCAATGATACATTTTATGCTAAAACAACATATAACATGTATTACTTTATTCTGGTTATAAGCATATTTTATAGGAGAAAGTGTACAAAACACAGAAAAATGCTGATAGCCACCAGTCACCTTAATTAAGTATTCCCTTAATGTACCTTGGAGAATAAACTCTGTGACCTTAGAAAGACAACCAAATAAAAAGAAATTCTCTTTTTTCGGCCTAACATCAATCCCCAATGAAGTCCTAATCCCCAATGAAGCCTAAAGTCCCTTTCCTATAAATACTGACTCCCCTCCCACCCACCCCTGAAAAAAACCAGATCTCTGACTTGTATAATACTGACATTTACAGCTACTTAAATAACCCCGGAAGGTTGGGTTGTTGTGTAGAAAACTGCTGTTCCTTCATCAGTGAGATCAATATTTTCCTTGGGTTGTTTTTTTTTTGTTTTTTTTTTTGAGACAGGGTCTTGCTATATGTAGTGCAGGCTGGTCTTAAACTCAATATATAGCCCAGGCTGGCCTTGAACTCATGGCAATCCTCCTGCCTCAGCCTTCCAAGTGCTGGGACTACAGGCATGCACCACCACACCTAGCAATATTTTCCTTGAACACCTGCTGAATCCTTTATTTTCAGAGAACCCAGTTTACCTGAAAGCCTGCATTTCTTTGCAAACAATGTAAAATTTCTTAATGCTTAATTTTATCTAAGTTTTCTCTAATAGCAAGAGAAAACTTTTTTGTTTTGTTTTGCATGTAATACTGTCAACAAGCCATGGAATGCAATTTGTGAAACATTTATCAAATATAAATGAGTCTACAAGCAGAAAGAGGGGGTACTGAGGATTGAACCCGGAGCCTTCACACTGTGATACATTCCCAGACCTTTTTTATTTTTTAATTTTGAGACAGGGTCTTGTGAAATCGCCCAGGCTAGCTCAAATTTGCAACCTTATCTCAGCCTCCCAAGTCCTGGAATTACAGGTGTGAACCACCATGCCCAACAGATAATTCTTTTTCTCTCTTCCTCTCTGTCTGTCTCTCTCTTCTTGCTATTAGTGGGAAGAAAGTTATTGTACTAATAGCCCCTAAAAATATACACCTACCACCATTTAATTATGAGAACCAAGAGATTACAAACACACCAACAAAGATACAATTTACTACCTGTTTGTTACTAGACATTAATCTGAAGTTTGATTATCTATTATATCTCATTTTCTTTAGCCAACCATGTTTCTGTAAAATTCTACAATTACCCAGTTTTATATGCCCAAAGTTAAACATTTCTACTTTCATGATTAATTATACTCTAATTTTTAAAACTGTAAGGCTACCAGTCTCCAAACGCTATCTTCCAAACATCTTTTTTTTTGAGACAGGGTCTCACCATGCAGTTCAGGCTGGACTTTAACTCACTATGTAGTCCAGGTTGGCCTTGAACTCATGGTTCAGGCCTTCTTCAGCCTCCTGAGTGCTGGGATTACAGGCATGTGCCACCACACCTGGTAAAACTATCTTCTGGCAGAAAAAAACCCCACATTTTCAGCCCTGACTGGTGGTGTAGGACTATTATTCCAGCTTATCAGTAAACTGAGGCAGAAGGATCACAAGCTTAAGGCGAGCCTGGGCAACTTAGTGAGACCCTGTCTCAAAATAAAATAAAAAGGGCTGAGAATGTAACTCAGTATATATAAAGCACTTGCAAGCATGTGTGGGGTCCTGGATTCAATCCCCACTAACTATAAGAAAAGTGAAAAAAAAAAAAACAGAAAAAAAAAGAAAGGAAAAGACACATGTTTTCATTTTAAAGACATTTTTAGGAAATTAAAACAAACTATAATCACTTCCATAAAATCTGCAAATAACTTACTGCTGGGCAATGTGCAACACGTTCACTAGGGTGTCATCACTCATTGCTTCGATTTTATTTGTAGTTAAATTATACAGAGTAGGAAACTGGGGGTGGTCTCTGACACTTTCAACATTTTTTAATGAGCTCGTCTTCTGTGTTTGAAGCCGCCAAAGTACATTAAATGCATGTCCCACTTGTTTTTCCGAAAGTGTGGCTTTGTTTCTTTCAATGAGATCAAATATTTCCTCTTCATCTGTACACTTACTCATCTGAACAATTAGTGGTTCACAACTCAAAGGTCGAAACTGAAACACTTTCCAGAAGACTGGACAAGTAGCTCTCAAACGAAACATATTTAGAGCCATTTTAGAGCCATATTTAGTATCCTTAGATAAAGAAAGCCATCTGCAACTACTCATCAGGTGCAATATGCTGGCATAAAAATAACTTTCTGATTGTTTCCTTTATGATGACTCTACCATTCCAATATTCCAATTTCTGTTAAAAAAAAAATTGGTTTAGCATGGTTATTTGTACCGCATTAATAGCAAATTAATTCCAAAATTCAAATTAAAAGTAACAAGTATTTCCTACATTAACAGGCTTTGCTCTTAATCTATATCAGATAGCAGGATTTGATACAAAACTAAATATCCAGGAAAAATAGGCTTCTTTCAGGACTTCATTTTAAAAAAAAGTTTAAGTCTGACTTTAAAGTTTTCAAATTTAACCATACAAAGAGGAGGAAAAAAAAAATCCTAAACTTGTAACAGTCTTCCTCATCCACCCATTTGGTGGTGCTGGGGAATGAATCCAGAGCCTTGCACGTACTATGTAAGTGTGTCTGAAATAAATATATCACTTTTAAAGTTTCTAAAGAGTATCCATTAATTCAAGTTTGTTTTTTAACTTGAGGAGGGGATGAGATAAGGTCTCCTTATGGGGCCCAGGCTGGCCTTGAACTCAAACAATCATCCTGCCTCAGCTTCCTGAGTGCTGGGATCACAGGTGTAACCCACCCTGCCTGTTTTTTTTTTTAATCCCATCCCCCCCTCAAACCCCCTTGTACAAAGTTTTTGTACAAAAACTGTTTCCATTTTTTTCTTCTATTTTCCCTTTTTTCTTGTCTCTTTCCTTTTTCCCTTCCTCCTCCCTTGTTCCCCTTCCCATTTGAACATTTTCTTCCCATTTTCCAATATCTGTTATACATTTTAGTCCTTATTTCCACTTTCGCTTTCTCACACCACAGAAACAATGCAGTGTTTAAACGTGTGTCTGATTTATTTCACTTAAGAGTATGTATGGCCTCAAGGCCCACCCATTTAGCTATAAATGTCTGAAGCTCATCCTTCTTTATGGCAGAGTAGTACTCCATGGTACTAAAAAACCACATCTTTATCCATTCATTGGTTGATGGGCATTTGGGCTGTTCTAAAATACATTATCTGATTAAATTTTCTCACACTTCCAGGTACATAGTATTTCCACTGTACAAATTAGAAAAATTTTAAGAAGTTTGAGAACAAAAGAAAAAATTAAGCACTCTAGTACTAAAAAAGATTTCTCTCCACTTAATCCTTATTATATCATTAAGAATATACCTCAGGTCCCTCTCTGGGGCTGGGCCAAGCTAAGTGTTCTCAAGAAAAAAACCATGTGACTGTACTGCCTATTTTGTGGTAATCAGTACAATATCCTGTCCCAAACTGACCTGGGTCACAAGCCTACATAAAAACTCCTGCACAAAGCAAAGTAACCATCTTCAAGATAGTACCCATCCACAAGTGAAAGTGAAGGCTACAAAATAAAGAGGTGTCCCCCCACTTTGCCCAAGCTGCACGCCCTAGGGGACGTCACTTAACTAAAGGAGGGGCCGTAGGACCGTGGAGGCAAAAGAGCTGTGAACACGCATGGTGCAGGATACATACACAACGGGCACGGTTTGCAAGTGACACATATCTTGAACCGGAAACAGACGAATGAGGTCTCTACGATCCCAGTACCGACTGGGATCAGCTCTACCCTAGTTCTCTGGGCTTCAGAGAACCCACTACTCAAAAGGTGTCTCCATTTCTCAGCCGAACCCTAGATCCTGGATCGCAAACATGCCGAGAGGGAAAAGAAAAACCGCCGCCTCTACCCGACCCTGACTTGCCGGCAAGTTCTTTCCTCAGCGTCCGCCAACTTCTCCGCAGGATCCCAGAGTAGGTGGGTTTCGATGGCTCCGAAGTCAGGGTTATTCCTCATGCCCAGCAAGGGACAATACAGGCATGGTTCTGTCGCTCACTCCTCACATCCCAGGGAGTTTAGCCTCTCCTTGAGAGACACCACCTTCCCCGGTCCAGGGCAGCGTGCAGGGCGAAGGCACGTACTACATGTCCTAGAGAGCATCGCGTGGCGTCGGGGTGGGGTCACGTCATTTACGCACCGGGGAATTCTGGGCTTCGGAGTTTCCTACTGAGAGAGGCTGGGGTAGGGGGTTTTAATTTACTGAAGAGAAGAATGTGAGGGCGATCTGGCTATGACATGTGTCATATCATTGATCGCCAGCTGATCTGAGTGGCTAGGTGGGTGTCCCCTAGGGTGTAGAATTGCTGAGCCAATTTAGTTGAGCTTCTCTTACTCAAGTTGACACAATCGACCATCACACATACCAAGTACCAGGAGATGTGTTGATCTGCTCGAGCAAGGACACTACATCTGGTACAGTTTAGGCAATTTTGGAATACCTTGTCTCAAAAAAAAAAAAGGATGGTGATGTAGCTCAGTGGTAAGCACTTACATACCATGCATAAGGCTTCAGGTTCAATTCTCAGCACTAAAAAAAAAAAAAAATACCTGAAAACAAGAGTACATCTACATAATTTCATTTATATAAGGTTCAAAACTGGGCAAAACTCATACCTGTAGGCAGGACTGAAAGCTGTAAGCCAGCCTGGACAATTTAGGATAGCCTGCCTCAAAATAGAATATAAAAGGGCTGAATATGTAGCTCAGTGGAAGAGCACCCCTGGGTTCAATTCCACAGTACTGCAAAATACATAAATAAATTAATTAATTAATCAATATACACTGCTGCTGAAACTCAGAAGTTCTTTGGTGGGGGTGGGTAGTAGAATTAAGAAGGAACATAAAGGAGGCTTCTAGGATGTTGATACTACTCTTGCTCTATGTCTTAGTCTAGTAGAAGTTATACCTGTATGTTCACTTAGTAAAGATGTATTGAACTATGTTCATGATTTAACAATATTTGTTAAATTTTAATTTGAAATCTTACCTTTAAAAAGGCATTTAACGTCTAAGATAACCAAACCACTATTTGAAAACCCAGAATTTGATGACTAAAAATATTTTTTGTGCAAATAACTATCTCTTAATGGTATTCTGTTAATTTTCCACAGAAATAGCTTTCTATCTTTTTTCTGGGTACATTCCAAGGACCCAGCACCTTACAATTGTGATTGGTCTTGTGATTTAGTTCTTTCTCATCAATGGAATTACATCCAAAGTGGCATATGCAACTTCTGAATTTAGGTTTTGAGACATTGCTTATTTCCTCTTTCCACTAGCTGAAAACCAAAGCAACATACTGTAATCATTCAATGACAAGACCCCGGAGTATGTTGGAATAACATAATGGAAAGAACTAAAGTCTCTGAATAACAACATAAGCAGAGCTGCCCTTTCAACTGTCTGAGACCTCTAAGATCTATTATGTAAGAAAGAAATCCTTTAAAGCCATAGTATCATTGGACATTACACTATTTCCTCTTAATGAACAGCATCTTTCTTGACACAATACATCCATGTCAAATCAATTTGGGAAAGCATGGGATTTCACAGACCAATCACATTTCAACATACAGTACTAAATATAATCGATGAATATGTGAGAATTAAAAACAAAAACATTAATGCCCTCTGTAATTCTCTCTTTTCTCAAAGAATACTTTGTTGATGACTGGTTTTTTAGACTTTGTATTGTAGGGCTTACTAAAAGCTGAAATTACGAGCTCCTTCAATAGACGGTCCTTCAAAATACCCTGACATGAGCATCCATATATGTTTATTAAACGAATCACTTTATTTCAGGAACGATATGGCACTCTTCTTTTTCTCCAGGTACGAGGGATTGATCCCAGAGTCTTCGAATTGATGTACACCCTCTGCCTATTGATTGACTGACTGATCGTCAAAATCTTACTAAATTGCCCCGGCTGGGTTCACACTTGAGATCCTTCTACCCCCTACCTGGCACGATATGACATTCCGATGGGTACAAAATGCCCAGTCAACTCAGAGAAAGCAGTAAACTAACTAAACTAGTAACCTAAATCCTTTACTTCCAAGGAGGGAGCGGTGACCCAAACCAGGGACTGCTGGGAGACTCCGTTACGCACTTCCGGAGCGACACTTTCCCTCCACGCCATGACTGGACTGTGGGGGAGGGAGTCTGTTAGTGGGCTTTAGCGCCTTTTCTGACGGCGGTAGATTTGAAGCGCTTTGAAGGACCGGGCCCAGCGAAGAGGATATTGTGGTGGCACAGGTACGTGGCGCGAGGCCCGTGCTGATTTGGTGGCGTCATTTGCTGCAGTCCCGGTGCGAGAGCGGGAAGGGCCAGAGGAGAGGGGCGGAGCTGGCGCGTCAGGCTGAGTTGAGTTAACAGCCTTTCCCTAGGTATAGTTGGACTGCTTGGGCGCACAGGGGGGCCCCGAGGCCAAAGGAACTGCCTTGGCAGCAGCAGGCGGCCTCCAGCCCAGCCTGGGGCCTAGGAAACGGCTCTTCCTCCGCCAGCCCCCGCCCTCCTCACTCGGGCGCGCACCTCGCTCCCTGACGCATTTTGCCGCACAAGCTGTAATATGGCGGCAGCGACGGCGGCCTGAACTCTGGGGATCTAGGCCGATTTTTTGATGCTTCAGAACCGTAAGACTGAGCACCGTAGCGGGGATGGTTGGGATGGCTGATGGGGAAGGAGGGCAACCTGATGTCCTGCCAAGTTAGGGTCAGAGAGGGCGGAGAAGAATCTGAATCACAGGAATTAAAATTGGGTACAATTTTTCCTGCCCTGACCTTTTCCTCTCAGAGGACGTCGACTTTCGTGCATACTTAAGTGTAATAGGGCACATCGTCAAACATTCTTGTAAAAGTCAAGTCCAGAGCCTTACCTTAGGTCTTTCGAAGTTTTCCCGTGTTTTCGAGGAGCTGCGAGCGGCACAGGCCTGGTAGGACGACGATACTCTTTCAGAGGAAGGTTTCAGTGCTTCGTATGCCTTAAAGAAAAATGAACTAATTTGGCCATCTTTGTTCTTTTTAAGGCGCAAAGTTTTAAGTATGCCGGCAAGGAGAATGCCTAGTCGTTCTGGAAACGTTATAAAAGCACCATTTTGTGCATTGAATTTCTTTCTACAAAAGTACATTACATGCAGCACTAAGTTTTTCCAGTAGTGATCACAAATAGGTCTCAGGAACAACTAGATGTTTTGGGAATTTGTAGGGCCGCTATTAACTTTCAGAAGCTAAATCCAAAAAGGAGAAAAATACATTTGTTTACATTATTTCCATTTTGTGGCCGAAGGTGGTCATTAATTGCTAGTTTGTTACAGCGACTGGGGAGGTGGGAGTGAACATTTTTTAAGTTTTGAAGACAGATAACTAAAAAGGCTGCTTCTCTGTTTCATGTTTTTCATATACTTGAAACTTTACCTGTTTAGCATCCCCTCATTTGAACTGTTTGGAATGGAATTATTTTTGTAGCAATTTACATACCTCTCTGTCTTAAACAGAAGTCATTGGGCATTGATTACCAATTTATGATTCAGGACTATTGATGCCCCAAGTTCCTATAGTGTTTTGTCTAGAGTCTTGCCGTGTGGTAACATTTCATGCTTTTGAATTGTGTGTGGTTTGCAAGGCCTTTTCTCTTTAGGCAGTTGTTAGGGTTGCCTTCCCCTCCTGGAAAGAGTGTATAAGAATTCGCATTTGGGTTTTTCTGCGACTGTCATTTTATATTCTGATCTCCATTTTGTCATCAGCTCTGGATTTGGAAAAAAAAATTTTTGTTCAGACAGGATCTCACTTTGCAGTGCAGGCTGGCCTTGGAACCCTTGGTAATCCTCCCAATGCTGTGTTTACAGGCGTGTGCCACCATTCACGGCTTATAAAAAATAAATATTTAGGTTTGTTAAAATTATTTGTAAAATCGCCTTTCAGTGACAACTTAGTTCTCCTGAGTGAAGAGCTTTTTTTGTGTTTTTTCCCCATTATTGGAGATTGAACTCAAGTTCTTGAGCATGCCAGGCAAACACTGTACCACTGAGCCACATCTCCAACTCTTTAAAATTTTTTTGTTTTGAAGCAGGGTCTTGCTAAATTGCCCAGGCTGGGCTTGAATTTAAGATCCTCCTGCCTCAACCTCCTACTGTACTGGGCTTACAAGCCTGTAGCATTGGGACTGACCTACTTTGAATTCTTTTAAGTTTTTCTGTTTGTCTTTGTTTTGTTCTTTGTTTTTCATAGTCCTCTTGATTTTTGTTTAGTTTTGTTTTGTTTTGTGTTGGTACTGGAGATCGAACCCGGGACCTTGTTGCCTGCAAGGCAGGTGGCAGAACCACTGAGCTAAATCCCCTCGGCTGTTCTTTGTTTTTTGAGACAGGATCTCACTATGTAGTCCAGGCTGGCCTCGAACTCACGGTGATCCTCTTGCCTCAGCTGCCTAAGTACTAGGATTGCAGACGTATGCCACCATGCCTGTCTTGTTTTGAATTTTTTTGTGTGGTGTGGGTTCAAGGTCTCACCATGTAGTTCAGGTTGGCCTTGAACTCACTGTTCAACCCAGGCTAGCCTCGAACTCAGGGGGATCCTCCTGCCTCAGCCTCCTGAATACTGGGATTACAGATGTGCACCACTATACTCAGGTTATTTTGAATTATTAAAGGCCTTTTTTTGTCTTGATTTCCCCCCAACCCTCATCCCATACTGGGGATTGAACTCAGGACCTTGAGCTTGCCAGGCAGACATCCATCCCCAGTGCTGTGCCTTAAAGTATGATCTTGCAGTATAGGTGGCCCGTACATGTTTTCATATTTTGCTTATTTTAAATTAGATTTTCTGTCAGCATCTATTCTTTATGCAAAGAAAATTGGTAGCTATTCATAATACCGCAGAAGGATGGACTAGTTCTGTTAGTTATAACACTATCTGCACTTCTTTAAATTGTTACCCCTTTTAAGAAATACATGTTGATTTTTTTTCCCCTATTGCTTTGCAAATAGGGTATTTCAACAAAGTCATAACATTGTCTCTTTGTAGTATACTAATGTGTTGAAATCTCCTGGCATTTATGATAGGAATGACATACTTACAGTGAAGAGCTTGTTGCAAATCTTTCTTCTACATTCTGGTATTGTGTGCACCTAAAATTTTTAATATTAGCTCTAAACTTCAGTTTTTAT